GAAAGGGTAGATATATATATATATATATATATATATATATATATATATTCCCCGATAAAAGATCGCACAGGTCTTTCTGTTTCAGTTTCACCATTCATCCGTCTCCTAACCACCATCAATTCTCTCCCTCTTTTCTTTGAAGGGGGTTTCACCCTCCACCATCAAAGGGAGAAAAGGCCAGATTACCCTTGATAAATTGCATCTTAATACCAATATTAGTTTAGTTTACATTTTAATTTTGTTTTCTACAATTGGGATCCTCTAGTAATTTGAGCGAGCTCCCTATATTGTCACTCTACTGAAAATCATGTTGTGGAGTTGTAAATTTTGTGAATTTTATGTGCTTTATATATGAACAGTTATTGGTTTCTTTAACATAAATTAATAGAAGATTCTCAAACCTAGATTCCCAATATTATTTCTTGAAGTGTAATTTCGTATTTGACCACTAAACTTCTTATATCACATATAGCTTTATAATAAACAAATTTTTTTATCTTGTCAATAAGCTGCCCCTCATTTTACCAAGTAGGATTGCAATGATAATGATTTAAGAACGCTAAGGTTATTTTTCCTTTTTTCTTTTTTTGCTTTTCTCTTTTGTTGGTTTGGTTTTTGAGAGGGTTTTGGATTAATGAACTCAATGGAGATGAGATAAAGCGTGCCCCCCACGTTATTTGGTGGTCAAGTGTGTATTTGTTTACATTATTAGGGATATTCGAGACATTCCATTGTACAGTGGAAAAGCATAGACTCTTTTTTCATTTTTTTTTTTTTTTTGGATAAAAAGGATCCACGATTCCATAAAAGACTAAAGTTTATATACAGTGAGGCTCTAAATAAATAAATTAGAGTTTATCTCAAAAATTTCATTAGATGATATTGTTTTGATGTCTAAATATCCTCAAATTGATTATCTTGACATCATGGACATAAAAAAAAAAAATAGATTTCAAGGTTTGAAAATAGCGTATTTTGTAGCATATTAGTGTGTATTTGTTTAGATTATTAGGGATATTCGAGACATTCCATTGTAAAGTGGAAAAGCAGAGATGCTTTTCTCATTTATTTTTTTATTTGGATAAAAAGGATCCACGATTCCATAAAGGGAAAAGTTTTGATAGAGGGAGGCTCTAAACAATTAAATTAGAGCTTATCTCAAAAATTTCACTAGAAGAGATTGTTTTGATGCTTAAATATCCTCAAATTGATCATCTCAACATCATGGACATCAAAAAACAAATGGATTTCAAGTTTTGAAAATAGTGTATTTTGTAGAGTATTTTTTTACCATCAATTTTCAAGATTTTCAAGTTTTCATAGACATGTTAATCAACACTATTTTTTAAGCTTTGAACTTTATAAATAAAAATAAAAATATATTTTAAGGCTATCACAAAGATTTCTAGTATTGAAATCACATTTCTCGATAGTATATGAAGGTAGGCTCTAATTTGATTGTTTAGAGCCTAGGATCTATATAAACCACACCCTCCAATAAATAGTATAATGGCCGAGGAATGGAGAGCGAGGAGGCTCCAAATATCGAGCAATTAATGCCGTTTATGAGAGAGAGAGGAAACGGGCATAGAGAGACCCAACTGGCAATGCCAGCCCCACCCAGCTTAGCCCTAGTCCTTATATGGCCAGCTCAATAAATGAAGAAAAAGAAATGTTTACCACAATGCTCAGGACCAGTAAACACTTGAATAGTCCAAATAATGTATCATTGTTTTAGGACTTAAAATGTTTTTTTCTTCATTTCCATAATTATCAATATCAATCAATTTGAGAGTTGTAGCACCAAAACTGCATTTACCTGCGGAAACTGAGAGCTTTGGCACCAAATCCTATGCTAACTTTTTCCTTACTGTAAATTGAGTACAACTTTTATAAGGAAAAATGTCATATAAAGGTGAGGCCCTAAACAATCAAATTAGGGCACACTTCAAAATTTACTAGAAGAGGATGTTTAAATTCTCAAAGATCCTCAAATCGATCATCTCAACTTCAAGATATATGGACATGAGAAAAAATAGATTTCAAATTTTTCAAATTTTTCAAATTTTGTAAAGCTTTTGGAAAGTTTGGCAATATGCTACACTAGTATTATTTTATTTTAAGTGTTGCTATACTGGTAGTTGAGAGAGATTCGCAATCTGCATTGCTTTTTTCTGACAAAAGTGGTTTTAGGATGGTCTCCTGTTTAAATTATTACAGGCTTTTCCTATTTATTAAAATAAATCCAAATCAGAATCCAAAACTTGACAAAGCAACTCACTTAAAGCTAGAGGAATTGTAAATGTCCTTTTATTTAAATTAATGATCGTGGTGGTCAAGGTTATTGACATGTAAAATTTCGGATCCAAAATTCATCTCTGAGATAGATTCTAGAGTAGGTGCTTCAGCTCATGCACCAAGATCGAACCTGAAATTGATTATTCAAGACGTAAAGGTTGAAGACCCCTCCAAACATACATTCACATTCACTTGCCTGGTGTGCTGCTCACCTCCTGCACAGTTATCCCACTCACAGATTTTATTTTCAAAGTTGAAGAGAAGGCTTAGGTGCAAATAGTAACCATTAGGAGAAAAGGAATTTGAAACTTTCCAAATATTGCATGGATCTTTTTATCCTATCGAAGGATCGCCATGAATTAACTGTGAAAGAGTTCTTCGAATTGCACAGTTCCATTACGTATCAATTCATTTGCAATATTCATAAATAAGATACATGGTATAAAGTACATATCTCCTATTAATGCCAACAATCTAGAATTGCATAACCAGTGAAAAGCACAAGAAGATACAATGTTCCACAAAATCATACACTCAGAACGAAAGGTGAGACAAGCAAAAAAGGAATTACTAGCACTCGCTAGGAACATGAACACCCTTTGTCATTGATATACAGGTGCCCCATATACACTATAAAGTCGGTGCTTGATTATTTGTTAGACGAGCATCCTCAACCCCTACACTGCTTTCAGTTTGAGGAGGCATCTTGATGTAGAGCTCATCTAAAGTCTTTAATTGTTAAGCCAAGCTCATTCGCCAAATGAAGCAAGCATATAAAACATAGGTGAGGGGAAATATCTTCAGGTGCAGCTGCAGAGCAGTCTTGTGGCAAAGTTCTCAGCACCTGGCTGAATAATAATGCAGAGCCTTGTTTCCCTATCAAGATAAACAAGTTAAATAGGCATCCAGTCTCTCAATTAAAAGAAAATAAAGGGAACGACAATCAGGAATAACCAATTAATTAATGTGCAAACCAAAGTGATTATCCTAGCATATACTAATGAACATGTGAATATGAGGATAATATTCATATTTCAATGCCTACTTTGCCAATGCCTCACACATTAGGCATGAGCTTCTCAATCATCTCCAATATGTAATAAATTCCTTTCGAGAGGGACTTAACATTCAGAGAGAGATAGCCGAACAGAAAATAACTACTTTTATCATCAGAATATGTTATACCAAGTCCAATATAGTTAAAAAACAGAGGGACTTGATAATATTCCAAAACAAAGGGTTCCTTAAGAGCAAGTGTTGTCCAATATCATAGAGATCCTCTATTTTAACAAACTTAAATTCCCACACACTCACATCAGTAAATTGCCACACATGCACACACACGTGTGTGCGCACATGCACATGTACACACACACAACTCTATTCTGTTTCTTCTGAAGCCACACACACACACACCTCCTCTGAAAAAGAAAGTGAAGGGGGTTTTAATCTACTGAAGCATGTTGTGCAATGGCAAGGATTGACCTACCAATGAAGCAGTCACAATCATGCATAATCCGATCAATTCCAAATGTGTTTTGAATGTTCCAAACTGACCTAGCAAAATTGGCAGAGGTAAGGAGATGATCAATACTCCTTTTGCATTATTATATATAAAGCCAATGCAAGGGATCTAGAAGCCCTAATGTTGAAGATTATTCAGGTAGAATCATATCCAAATAACCCAGCCACCCAAACACTTAGATCCTAAGCCAGAGCAGCGACATACCAAAGCAAGTGAGCAGGGAATGAGGCAGGATCAACTGAAACTGAGGACAGGTAAAAAAAAAAAGGGACCAAGACACCAAAACCGTCCAAATATCAAACTCTTTCATCAGAAAAAAAAAAAAACATTTCTGAAATAAAAAGGATCCAGTAAGACTCCATAGAAGGCAGCTAAGATCAGCAACCTCACCATTTCAGGTTCTTCACAACATCATGGGCACCACACAAGCATTAGTTCAAAAGCATTGCCCAAAAGGTCAGGTCCTGGCAGAGATGTGATGGGCCTCTAAACCATATATCAGCCTAGAATCTGATCCTGAATCCATCACGAAACAAGAATCCAATACCCCTACTAAACATCCTCCCACCAATTGACACCTGTCAAAATCCCAACACCCTATTGATCCACTAGGTTCCTAAAACGGGAACCTAATTTAATCCATTTTAGAAAGTTGGCTTCCCTACAATTTTCAAAAATGATAGAAGCTCAGAGTAATGTTCTATGGTGGAAGAAAAACTACTAATTAATTTGGCATACCTAGATATATATAAAACTACAACCTAATAAAAAATTCATATAATGATTCACCTTGAGGAATCATCAAATCCAATATACATAGAAGACATCATACTCACATTGAGTTCACACCCAAACAAAAGAATATGCATAGTGAATGATAGTGAAAAGGCCAAGTGTAAATCAAACATACGAGAACTGAGATAACATTAAAGTTTGGAATAACCAAAAATTTACTTACCACCTCAATCTTTTCGACAGATTTTTAAAGGAATTCCCAAAGCGTCCCCTTCAAAGAATGAACTTCAACTTGTTTTGAAGTCTTGTCATACTGGACTTCGATTTTGTTCACCTAGAAACATTGACCATGACATAAAATAAATTCGAACTTTGAAGACAAATTACAGAATTCAAACGTGGATGGAACAATATCTATATTCTATGTTTCCATTGAAAAGAACAAAAATATTCTGAAAATCAAGCAAAAAAATAATATACTCTCCACATATACAGACTCCAATTCAGACAGTATATACTCTCCACATATACTGTGGCAATTACATTGATGCTCAAACCGTACTTCATTCATGTTTTCATGCTCATGGGTCTGCAAGGTAGTGGTCTACTTACCTTTGTGTCCCAATGGTGATCCCAATTCTCCTCCCACAGTTCCACTTCAAGCTCTCCAACAGTGAGTCAAGGGGGCCTTATCCAAGTCCTTCACTTGCCTTAGAGAGAGAGAGAGAGAGAGAATAAGGGAGTGTGGGTGCCCCTGGCGTGAGGGAAAGGAGGAGGGCTTAAATACTCCTCAGGTGGCAGGTAGCATCCCATGGTCGACAAGTGGCAAGCCACTCACATGCAGCTGGGCAAGTGGCAAAGACTGGCCATGCACAGCTGCGTTGCATACAACGATACCCCCTCTTCTTCGTGCGGCGTTACCCCCTCTTCTTCACACGGCGTTACCCCCTCTTCTTTGCACGGCGTTACCCCCTCTTCTTCAAGCGGCGTTACCCCCTCTTCTTCACGCGACATTATTCCCTCTTCTTCATGCGGCGTTACTCCCTCTTCTTCGCACGGCGTTACCCTCTCTTCTTTCCACGACGTTACCCCCTCTTCTTCGCGCGAAGTTACTCTCTCTTCTTCACGCGGCGTTACTCCCTCTTCTTCGCACGGCGTTACTCCCTCTTCTTCACGTGGCGTTACTCCCTCTTCTTCACGCAACATTACCCCCTCTTCTTCACGCGGGCTAACTCTTTTGCCGACTTGGAGAAGTTTTGAGCCTCTCTCGAATCAAGGCAATCTTTTTTGAGATTACTTGAATAATTTCAGGACCTAACAACCTTCTTTCACCGACCTCATCCCAATAGATAGGTGTTCGGCACTTCCTTCCATACAAGGCTTCAAAAGGTGCCATCTGAATACTGGCCTGAAAACTGTTATTATAAGCAAATTCTATCCAAGGTAGATGATCCTCCTAGCTTTCCTTGAAATCAGTAACACATGCTCTCAACATGTCTTCTAGAGTCTGAATAGTTCTTTCTTATTGCTCATCAGTCTGGGGGTGAAAAGCAGTGCTAAAAGTGAGTCTTGTCCCCAGAGCTGATTGCAAACTGTCCCAAAATCTTGAAGTAAATCTAGTGTCCCTGTCAGACACAACACTGACAGGTGTTCCATGTAATCTCACAATATCTTTAATGTATAGTTGGGCCAATTTGTCCAAAGCATAAGTTGTGCAGACCGGTAAGAAATGAGCTGCTTTAGTCAGTTGGTCCACAATGACACAAATACTATCATATTCAGCACCTGTCCTGGGTAAGCCAAAGACAAAATCCATGGTAATGTGCTCCCACTTCCACTTCGGCACAAGCAAGGGTTGCAATAGTCCAGCGGGTTTTTTATGTTCAGCTTTCACTTGCTAGCATGTTAAGCACCTCGAAACAAATTGTGCCACTTCATTTTTCATATCATTCCACCATAAAAGTTTTTTCAACTCCTGATACATCTTTGTACTCCCCGGGTGCACAGTATAACGGGAGTGGTGTGCTTCTTCTAAAATGACAATCTTCAAGCCCTCCATAATCAGAACACAAACCCGATCTTTAAATCTTAACAGACCGTCCCCACTAATAGAGAAATCTAATTTCTTTCCAGCTTTATTTCTTCAAGAATCTTCATACGTTGGGGATCCTCTTTCTGCGCTTTACGAATTTGCTGAAAGAGCTGGGGCTCCACCCTCAGACTAGCAGTCATTCCTACCCCGACATTAAGGGGCAAAGTTGGGTGCCACTCCACTGCATCTTCTATCAGTTTCATCTCTCGAGTCATCAAGTGTGCCATTGACACTAAGGGCTTCCGACTCAAAGCGTCGGCCACCGCATTAGTCTCGCCCCTTTGGTAATTGATGGTACAATCATAGTCATTCCGTTGGTCCACCCATCTTCTTTGTCTCACAATCATCGGACCATACAAAATTTACTTCTTTCTGAGTTAGGCGAGTCAGGGGGAGCGCTATCTTCGAGGACCCCTCTACAAAGCATCTGTAATAACCTGCCAGTCCCAAAAAACTGCAGACCTCGGACACATTTGTCAGCCTTTCCCACTTCAAAACAACTTCAATTTTGCAAAGGTCAACAGCAACCCCATCCTTAGAAATAACATGCCCAAGGAATGCCACACTTGAAAGCCAAAACTCGCTTTCCCCAACTTAGCAAATGACTTCTCTGTCTTTAGGGTCTAGAGGACCATCCTCAAGTGTTGTTCATGCTATTCTAGACTTCTTGAATATAACAGAATATCATCTATAGAAACCACCACAAAATCATCCAAAAAGAATCTAAACACCCTATTCATCAAATCCATAAAGACGGCCAGGGCATTAGTTAACTCGAACGGCATTACCAAGAACTTATAGTGTCCATATCGGGTCTTGAATGCAGTCTTAAGGACATCCTCTTCTTTGACCCGCAGTTGATGATAACCCGACCGTAGGTCAATTTTAGAAAACACTTGAGCCCCTTGAAGGGGATCAAAGAGGTCGTCAATTCTGGGCAAGGGGCACTTATTCTTTGCCGTGATCTGGTTCAGCTGTCTATAATCTATACAAAGTCTTAAGGGCCCATCTTTCTTTTTCACAAATAAAACCAGCGCACCCCATGGCGACACACTAGGTCGAAAGAATCCCCTCTCCAATAACTCTTGCAATTGCTCTTTTAGTTCTTTCAATTCGGCTAGGGCCATCCTATAAGGGGCCTTAGAAATGGAAGCAGTGTCAAGAACTACTTCTATTTCAAATTCTATCTCCCTAACTGGAGGCAGAGTGGTTAATTCTTTAGGGAAAACTTCTGGGTACTCCCTCGCTACTGGTATCTCATCTAACTTTGACTGGGCATCCCGATTCTTCACTACATAAGCCAGATACCCAACACATTATTTGGCCAACAAACGGTAAACCCGAAGGGCTGAGATAAAGTGTATAGGGGAAACATCCTTAATGCCAACAAAATTCAATTCAGGCTGATTAGGGCGTCTAAAAGTTACAGTTTTGTCATAACAATTTACTGACGCACAATGCGCGGATAACCAGTCCATGCCCAAAATTACATCAAAGTCTTGGATATCTAACAGTATCAAATCTATAGGTAGAACACACCCTTCAAGCAAAACTCCACAATGCTTACAAACAATATCAGGTTCTATAGATTCCCCCATAGGTGTGCCTATAACCAATGTCCAGTCAAGAAGTGCAAGTCTAACATTTATGTGGCATGCAAACTGAGGTAGAACATAAGAGTGCGTGGATCCAGGGTCAATCAAAACTTTAGCTTCCATGTTGCAGCAAGAAAGCGTACCTCGAATCACAGAGGTGGATGCCTTGGCCGCTCGTTCTGTAACGGCAAACACCCAACCTTGAGTCTTTGGTCGATCTCCTAGTCCCTTCACCAGACAGTCCTTGATCATGTGGCCAGGCTTGCCGCATCTGAAACATGTTCCTGTCCTTCTTCGGCATTCGGCTGCCAAGTGATTGTTCTTTCCGCAATATGGACACGTCGAGCGCTGGTTTTCTCTTATGTCGCCCTAGAAGGTTTTCTGGATCTTCTTACTCCCTTGATTATTATTTCCCCTAGAACTTCTCTTTGGGGGTGGTTGAGTCTCTCTTCCAAAACTTCTAAACTGAGCTGCTACCATCCTCCCATCTTTCCTGAACCGGGACTCTTCGCCGTCCCTTTCTATTTTTATGGCCAAATCCACTAAAGGGGAGAAGGTCTTTAAATTGGCTGATAATACCCTCTCTCTTATTTCTGGCCTGAGGCCTCTTTCAAACTTACTACCCTTCCGCGCCTCGGTGTTAATGATGTGCGGCGCATATCTTGACAATTTAGCAAATTTGGCCGCATACTGTTCTACGAACAAACCCCCTTGTTGTTGCTCAATAAATTCCACGTCCATTCTTTCCCGTACTAAGTCAGGGAAGTACTTCTCATTGAAGGCTTCCAAGAAGTTCTCCCAAGTCACTTCTATCCCTGACTTTTCCCATGATTGTTTTACTAAGCCCCATCTGTGCTCAGCATCTCCTTCTAACATGATGGCCCCCAACCTAACCTTCTGTTCATCACTGCAATGCAACACTTCAAATATCTTTTCTACTTGCCTTTTCCACCGTTCTGCTTTTTCTACTCCCCCATGCCCTAAAAACGTCGGAGGTGCTAGCCTCCTGAACCTTTCTATTAGTCCACCATCAGCCTTCTCTGGGGCAGGGGTAACCAAGGCTGGCATACTTTCTTTCATCATTTGAGTCATGGCCCCCAAGGTCTTGAAGAATTCTCCAAGGGCTTCTGTGTTCTTGTTACAGGAACTCGCATTATTAGCACGAGTCCTTGGCATCTTTGTCCTACAACAGGGGCACCCCAGTCACTAGTCTACACAAAACTACACTAGAGACACCTCTACAACATTCTAGGCCAAGAATCCTATCTTAGCTGCTCTGATACCATAACTATCACGACCCTGGCCCCTGACCCCTACTGTCCCATACCGGAGGGTGACAAAGTTCAGGACCACGACCGGAGGCCGCAGACGTCACTCAGGTGGGAGTGGCTCAACGCGTGTCAACAGGGTGGAATCGAAGCAAACCATGAAAATTAAAATTAAACTTATACATCAAGTGCCAAAAACTGAACAAATTAAAACCATTAAGTATACATTCCATCTTCAAAATTCTTTACAATATCGCTCCAGGCCTACAAGCCTAATATTTCATTACGTCAAACAGAATTACATGTAGCCACGCCACCAGACACCTACAAGGCCAAAAAGAAATCCTTAACAGGTTTGAAACACCAAATGCCAGCTATCACCGCTTTGCTGCTTGCCTCTCGCAGTCAGGCACTATCACTCTACAAAGATAAAAAAAAAGAATGAACTAACACGCCCAGTAAGTAGGTCACTGCCCTTACATTCCCGACTACAACATATAAAATAATAACATGGCCTACAGTTCATTAAAGATCGCACTGGTATCAGAAAGTAGAGTCATACATCAGAATATGTACACTAACAGTATAAAATGAGTATTGTTCAAATGTCGGAGCACCTAATATTTCCTGAAATGGCAATTACATTGATGCTTATATCAGCCAAAGAACCGAGGTAGACGCAGCGCGTGTGGTAGAGATATTCTGAATATTGTAATAATATACTTGGATCATGTTCTGCCCTGGTATATGTGGAGATGTGCTTGGATCATGTTCTATCATAATAGATACATGTGAAGATACATGTATGCTTGGATCCAAGCATATCTCCACATTTACTGTCAGGAAAAACAACCTTTCTTTAAATATGCTTGAATCAAGTTAATGTCCCTTTCTTTATATTAGATTGAAACCTTTCTTTAAATGGGGCTGTCCAATTCTGTCATAAATATTGTTTTTTGAGGTCCAGGGTGTGATACTAAAGGAAAAGATTCTTATGTTTCCCCTACGGCATAGAAGTTCTATCCTACCCCTACCATCCAGCCGTCCAATTTTGATCAAGAAAGCCACTCACCGTTTGAGCTTAGATCCAACGTCTCAAAGTATTTTATTTTTAGTTTTTTTTTATACAAATTGTATTAATATAAAATTTGGGTACGTGCCATTTTCTCATTGGGGCGCATCTATAAAAAATATTAAAAATAATTTTTCAATAAAATATAATGACCAAAATATCCTTTGAAATTTTTAGGGGTATTTTGGCCATTTTATTTTATTGAAAATATTTTTTTTATATTTTTCGCTAGTGGCAGTTTAATAGAGGAATGGACGTCTAAAATTTGGTGTCAAAATAAAATAGTGTAGAGGCGTGACATTGTGATTGGGGCAATCTTAGCCTCCATTCAGAATGGACGGTTGGATAACGGGGAGGATAGAACTTCCATGTTTTAGGGGAAGCATAAAAAGCTTACCCGATACTAAAAGTACGGGGGGGAGGATGTCTATATAATTTTTCCTTAAACTAAACACAACTTAATAGATTTCATCCTCACTTACCTATGCTTCTAACTCATTAGCTACATCCTAGTGCACACTGGACATGTTGCACAAGGGAAGCTTTTGACCTAAGAATCTCCATGAAGTACTATACAAAGGCCATCTCAATTCCCTGTTGAACCTCCTCTTCCACACTTGGAACCTAAAGACCAACAACACTATCAGTTCTCCTAGGATTCGCAATTGCACAAAAAAAATGAAAGAATTGAGCTCCCTTTTCTTCAACCATTTAATTCTCGATATCTTCTTACAGTAAGTCTCTTATTATCTAATACACTCATGCAATGAGTTGTAGATGTTGACTCTTTCAAGCACTTGTTTCTCATTAGGTCCCAATTGTTCCTACTCAATACTATCTCGTTATTAGATTCTGAGCATTAGGCTATAAATCTTAGATTTCACATTATAGGAGTTCTTTCTCTCGTCCACTGCACTATTTTTCGTCGAAGTAACTCTAGTTTTCTGGACATCTTAAAGCCATATTTTCATGTTATAATCGTATTAGCACAAATTTGTTTTATTATTTCAACCATCTATTTCTTTTCTAGCCGCTCAGTTTCAAACATGAAATGTCTTGGCCCATTGGCCTCTTTCTCATTTTGCAACATAATCGGCAAATAACTAGATGAGAACTTTGTTAAGGATTTAGCAAATATACAAGGAAATATGGGGACTTATGGCCTCACTGAGAGTATGATCATTGATAGAGTAAAGTGGCGGATCAAGATTTGCGTGGCCGATTTGTGTGGCCGACCCCAAATAGTTGGGAAAAGGCTCTGATGATGATGATGACAAGGGAACACACACTCCCATGAACTTTACCAATCAAATTTACACATAATTAAGTTGTCCTTGTTGTTATTAGATCAAGTATCATGTATGCCACAAATATTCTAGCAATGGGTGTACCAAAAGATTAAAATACATACATTAATTCTGTCATATATTCTTGGATCATAAATTAACAAGCATACATTAATTCTGTCATATATTCTGCATGCTTGAAAGGACATTAACTTGATCAAGTTAATCTTTTAGCAACAGGTGTACCAAACCTTGCTATCATAATAGATCCAAGCATACATGTATCTTTTGTCTTTAAATATCTTTTATCTGAATTACATATATCTAGATATGCTTGGATCATGTTCTAGCATATAACTTATCTTTTGTCTGAAATCTGTCATAATATACTTGGATCATGTTCTGTCCAAGTATATGTGGAGATATGCTGATACATGTGTCATAAATATTGTTTTCAAGATTGGTTTGCTAAATAGTACTTCTATACATGTATCTTTTATTTAGCTCGCATTTAGCTATGTAGTTTATTATCAGTGTGCCTGTTTTCGATGGCAACCCATAAGTCCTCAGCCTTAGCATGCTTCAAATACTTTATGCAATCTATCACTCAAATTATTTAGGATAGCACTTCTACATGAAACATCATCATTTTTCCACTACAAATATTTTTGCCTTTCCTTAAGAGTTGAATCATCGTTGGGTTCACATGGTTTCTCTTCATTGATCACATACAACAAATCCATATGTGAAGCAAGAAAAAAAATTTACTCTTCTATAAAGGAAAATTAGATCCATCAAGCTTTTAACTTTTACCCATTGGGAAAGTATGCTTCTTTTAGTAGCTATTTAACCTAGCCTCTGATATCAAATTTTGGATCTTTTTTGAGACAGCTACTGATATGGATTAATGCAAATAAGATTTGGATCAATATCTCTCTTTAAACTCTACTTGAAATATTATCGAACACTTCACATCTCATCTACTGATGCAGGTTTTCTCTTATAAGGCAAGGCGCCCCTTCTTCGTGTCAAGTGATGTCATGTAATTTTTTTGGGCCTAAATCACCGGCACCCTCTCTTACTCATTATATAAAAGACTGAGAAGTAAAGTAGGTCCGTTCTTTCGAAGAACTAGAAGCGAAACGCTATGACGGGGCAGGGGAATATGCTTATGATTTTTATATGATTGGATTCTATTGGTCCACTCTCAATTAGCTCAACCCCACCCCCTTAGAATAAGAGAATAGTGAATTACCAAGGAGTCTACTTTTTTTATTTTAAGCCAAATTCCTCCATTCAGCAATCAGCCTACACTCAATTTAAGACCCAGCTGAACAACTCTTCCATATTATGAGAGAATGCAAAGTATGGTAACTCAACTAAGGGCTCACCAAAACTACCAATCAATATCCAATCTTTCGTCCTCCATCAGATTTTACCTTAATGATAAATCGTTCTAAAAATGGGTAAATATGGTGTATGGAACGAATTCACTGATATGTTCCAACTAGGGCTTATAGAGAATGGCAAAACCACACCTCTAGGAAACATATACCTTGGTAATACTTTGTTGGATTTTCTTGAGCATGGAGAGATTAGTAACAATGTAGAGAGAGAAAGTGATTGAGAGATGATGAGAACAAGATGACTTCACAATAGATGGTTAGGTTGTCCTTGGAACACTATAAATGCACCCTTCGACTAAAGGCACCTATAAATGTTTAGAGAGAGAGAGAGAGAGGGAACAAGTATATTGGAAGAGAACGAGAGGTGCACCACACCAAACTTCTCAAACCCTATCTCAAAGTATATAGGCCCCTTCATTTCAACAGTTAAAAAGAAATGTGTGGGGAATTTTAGAAAACGTTGATCAAAAGGGATTATGTAAAACAGGGATAGTTTGGTCATTTCTAAAATGGTAATAAATAACAATTTTATTTTTTCCAAAACAGTCCACAAAATCATGGAGCAAACCCCACGTTTTTTAATCTTTCAGAGGCCCAAAACTGTGAGAGTGATTTATTTGAACCTTACTTTTGGTATGGCCTAAACGACTAACACCAGATGCGTAGATCTTTCCAAATTACCACCATATGCAGCACTTTCCATGGTATGGTCCAGAACAAATAGAAATCACAAATCAAGGTGCCCCTATGTTCATTGTGAGGTCAATAATTAGATGAACCATGGTATGTCCAAGGGGTATTTTTGTATGCGTATCTCAGATTTTGTTGTAAAAACTCTGAACTTTTTAACGACCCATAACATCCTAGGACTCCCAGAGAAAACCACTGAAAGTGTAAAACACCACAAATACGCAAACAAAAACATCAACTCAGGGTGGCTATTGGCACACGAATAAACAACCAGATTAAACAAATGAAACTGGAAGTGTCAACCAGATAGTTAATCTATATAAATTTTATTTGAGTTACTGCAAGGAAGATAGTGCTCTCGTGGAACAGATTTTTCAACATGCGTATAGCAAATCATAAACAGTAAAAGCTACATTGAATAGCATTCTTTGTCGGTCTAATGTATTACGTTGCA